TCAATGCAATATATATCATTCCTCCCCTCCTTTTCTGTCTTCCCTCAACCCGGATGTCAGTCCCGTTTTACAACAGTGGTCCTATGCAATATCTGTCCTTTTGTGACTGAGATATTTTACTCTCATGCTAATATTTTTAAAGATGTGGGATGATAATCTTACTACAGATTCATCAGGGTTTTAAGACTAAGTAAGCATAGTTGGATGGCATTTATAATGCTAAAATCAAATTCAGTACAGGATCAGGCAAGACTTTGATCTATTATACACAGAGTTGCTATGAGTCAGATTGCACTTAACAACAATAAGTCAAATTAAACTTAAAAACGGAACTCTTAAAACACATTTTAGATCAGCTGCTTGGTGGCCTAGTGGTAAGGAAGTTGACTTGCCAATCCTAAAAGTTTTTGTTATTGTTGTTGTTGTTATGTGCCATCAAGTCACATGCGACTCATAGCGACCCTATGTACAAGAGTCCTAAACGCTGTGCTATCCTGTGCCAACCTCGCCATCTCAAACACACTCATTCCCAACCACTCCACTCACAGAATCGATGCATCTCATCGAGTGTCTTCCTCTCCTGTGCCGTCCCTCCGCTCTCCCAAGCATGATGTCCCTCTCTAAGGACCAGTCCCTCCTGCAACATGCCCAAAGTATGTCAGACGAAGCTTTAGAATCTTTGACTCCAAGGAGCATTCTGGCTTCACCCTCTCTAGGACAAACCTGTTTGTTCTCCTAGCCGTCCATGGTATATTCAACACTGTTCTCCAGCAACACAGCTCAAAGGCATCAATTCTCTTGCTATCATCCCTATTCATTGTCCAACTCTCCGATGCATAGTACCTAACTGCAAAGACTATAGCCTGTATCTGGCACACCTTAGTCTCCAGCCTGATGTCGTTGCTCTTCAGTACTCTTGAGGGGTCCCTCACAGCTGACTTTCCCAATGTAATTCGTCTCCTGATTTCCTGGCTGCTGTTACCAAGAGTGTTGACTGTGGAACCAAGTAAACTAAAACTGTTAACTATCCTAAAAGTACATTATATAATATGCTAATTATTACATACCCCATAGATACTTGCAACGCTAACCCATAGGCTGCATGGACTGATGTGTTGAGAGAAAGATGGGCAGTTCCTTCCTGCTGCAATTTAGGAGTCTATTAATAGCAGCCTTAGAAACCTGATGGAGGGTCGCGAAGACAACAGTGAGTTTTTAAAGCTGTTCTGTATGATTTAGGCATAAGTTGTAAGCATCACATAGAGATTATAATTAAGAGCCCTCATGGTACAATGGGGAGCCCGGTGGTCTGGTAGGGAAGGATTCACACTGACAATCCAAATATAAGGGCTTCCAAGCAGCTGCTCCGCAGCAGAAAGATGGATATATTTTATAGCCTCTGAAAACTCTGGTCAGTAACTGTCACAAATTGGTTCTGACTCCAGAACAATGAGTTTGAGCTGGGGTTGATGTTTTGGCTTTTTAGGGTGGTTTTTCTTTTCCTGGTTGTGTTTTTTTGTTTGGCTGGATATTTGTTTTGTGGTGGGGTTGTTTTGTGGTTGGTGGTTTTTTTTTTTTTTTTTCAGTGATGCATGGATTAAGTGCTTGCCTGCTAACCAAAAGATTGGTATTCACACTCACAAACACAATCTGTTCCTTTAAAGAAATTAGTTCCCCTAAAAATGTTAACCTCCGAAAAGCTAAGGGGCAGTTCCACTCTCACAGGATTACTGAGTCAGAACGGACTTCAGGGCACACAACACTAATCACTTATTCAAGGAATTTGGTCTTTGCCTTTGGTGCCTGAGAGATAAGCTCTAAAACCTTGGAATTTCCCCAGTGACTGCAGTCTTTGTTATTCATGAGGGACTCCAGACCACACCTACCTCACAGGTTACACCAAGAAGGTGACTCTGGAAGGAAGGGCTGTAATTTCAGCAGGACTGCAGTGGAGAAGGACTGAAGAGTGGGATGGACCACACAGACAATGATGGGATCGCTGCCTATGTATGTAATGACACTCAGTGGAAGAACTTCAAGCCCTGACTCTCCATGCTTTTCCCAACTGATGTTAGAAACTGATGAACAGGTGAAGAGAGCACATTTTGGGGGACATGGAAACCACACTGAGAACCCTTCCAGACTGGCTCTATGTATCTTTTATCTCCTTCTTGCTATTATAAAGCTGTAATCTTAAACATAGGCCTTTGTTTTGCTTTGTTTTGAGAGTCATTCTTGTGAAATAACTAAACTCAAAGCAAAGACCCAGAAGATCAAAAGTGGGGTGTCCCTTGGGGTTTTCTCTGCTCTATGATTTTCTCTGCTCTATGGGCTAACAGTATGAAGTGAGGGTCCTTAAGTTGGCTAGCATCTCTGGTCTTCACCAGACATGGCAATCTGGAAGACTGTGTAACGTGTCAGATTTGACCCCCCTATGAGGATTAAGATCAGAGAAATATAGACTGTATTTCTAGTCAGCATCAGAAAAGAATTGAAATGGTTTTGTTTTCTAAAGATTAAGAGAGATTAAAACTCTATGTTGTTGTTATACTGTTTAGTCGGAACCAACTCAAAGCTGACCCCTGCAGCAGGTTTTCAGAGGCAGTAGATTGCACAGGAGGAATAAAGTATCAATAAAATGAGGTACAACGTCCAGGAGGAATGGAGAGTTACAGACATCTGATCTAAGGGTGGGTATAGAGGTCCAGCCTCATAACCAAAAGGAACAACAAGACTCTAGACCTTTTCCTTCTTGGAAAACAGATTTCTTATTCCAGGAACAGCCCCTCTCACTGGCCTTATCTTTGTTTTGTCTATAATCTACCCTTGCTTTAGAGATCAGGGAACCAATGTTCCAGGTCATAACCCACTTAAACTAGTCCAGTCCTGTCTTCTCTGAGAGGAGAGTCACATCTAGTTCACAGGGGAACACAGTATGCCAAGGCATGCAATAAGAGAATAACAAGACACAGAGGGGAGAATGGAGCTGTGTGGTTCTCAATGCAGCATGGAGAGTTGGTAAAAGAAAGGATGAGAGTCCAGAGAAAAACCGAGACCAATCTCCCATAAACCTCTTCACCTAAGGCCCCTTTAGAAGGTCCTGATCTTCCTGCGCTCTGGTTTCCTTACTACTTGAAGCTGGTTTTGTGGGAAAGTGTGTGTCAGAAAAAACCCCAAGACTACCTCGTAAGCCTCATGTGAAAATTATGTGCAAGGGTTTTTCCATCACATGAAACCACAGGAGAGCAAATCTAAGTGGGAACAATGCTATGCTACTGTAAAAAAGGAATTTAAGTGCAAAATAAACAGAAAAGATAGTGTGGTGGAATCAGAATAGCAAGAAATTGATATGAGATCCACAAATAAGAGAATGACTAGAAGTCGTACAATGGTTGCCCATTGTTATTGTTAGGTGCTGTCAAGTAAGACTCATAGTGACCCTAAGAAAAAGATAAGAACCCTGTCCTATCCTGTGC